TTCTTGTACTATCGCCAATGTCATACGAAGAACGCCCAGCCCTTGTCCGCCATCCTGAAAAATACTCGCCAATCTCACCGATCGGAAAGAAATGCAATCGTTTTCGATTCCATGGCTCACTTGCTGTATTAACTCTCTCAAGGCACGCATCCTGTACTGAATTAAGACCTCGCGAGGAGGCAAAGACGGAATGTCTCGGTCAAAAACTATTTGAGAACGCTGTTATCTTACAAGACACGAGAAAGAAGAGTTAGCCCCGAATTTCATATAATTTTTGTAATGGTGTCTTTCTGGGTGATGCCTTTTCGTGTGATGCCTTTAAGCGTGATGCCGTTTCGCTTGATGCCTTTTTGTATGATGCCTTTTGCGTGATGCCTTTTCGTGTGATACGTTAAAATTAAGAGTGATGTCCTTCAGAGTGATGCCTTTTCGCATGATCTCTTTAAGCGTGATGCCTTTTCGGGTGATCCCCTTCAGCGTGATGCCTTTTCGCGTGATGCCCTTTAGCGTGATGCTTTTTTGCGTGATGCCTTTAAGCATGATGCCTTTTCCAGTGATGCCTTTAAGTGAGATGCCTTTTAGCGTGATGCCTTCCAGCGTGATGCCGTTTAGCGTGATGCCTGTTTGCGTAATGACTATTTGTTGCCATTCAACTTTGGATTGATGTATGTACAATTTGGATGATTTGATATCAATTACTGAGTATTGAATTTTGTCATAGATATACCTCCATAGCTAACCTTTGCGTAATATGGAATTACTCTTCTCGTAAAAAAAATAGGCCCGCATTGCGGACATGTGAGGCTCACAGGTTGTCCTAGTTTTTTACGAGTTACTCTATTGACTTTTGGCTATATCTGTTACGAAAAAAGTCTTTTTTAAAAAAGAAAAATCAGGAAAACTAAGTGAATCGTTCCTTATTTTCACCTCCATCTCGAATGACGTTTCGTGCATACTGCATGAAGTACAAGAGCGAGTTAAGCCTCTTTGTTGACACTACGTGAATTGCATTGCTCCGATAGATTTACTTAGTCGGAATTCCCACCTGGACAAAGGTTTATAAAAACCTACAGACACCTGATTATCATTGCATTATCACAGTCATGTCGATGTGAGATATAAACATTCACTGCTAAAAACGATGCTGAATCGTGCATTTAAGCTTTCATGTAACTGGCGGTTGTTCCACCTGGAATGTGAACGTCTCAGGGAGACTTTTTTTCGACTTCGTTACCCAGGCTTACTCTTGCAATCAACAATTCAGTGATTTTGTTTCTGCAAAATTTTCAGGAGATTTAAGATCAAAACAGATGTGTGAAGAGAAGAAAGCACTTGTGAGAATAATATTACCATTTAACGACCGGAGATCAGCCAATTTTGTGCGAAGACAACTTGGGGAATTACTGAGTCGCAAAATCGGAACGAATATCCATCCCGTGTACACAAGCCGAAAAATCGGATCCAAGATCAAGCCAAGAGAACAGAAACCCCCAATCGTGAATCAACAGTGCGTTGTATACCATTTCAAGTGTAATCAGTGTAGTGCGGATTATGTCACGGCTACACATGTCGACACCTGTATCAACGTATTGAAGAACATAAGAGGTCTGCGATCGGGGAAACATTTCAGAGAGCAACATGGGAGGGACCCAAGTGACATAAATCTTAGATTAAAGAACTTACGGAAGTGCTAGAGTAAATTGACTGGTTAATTTATGAGATGCTTTTTATACAGGGCCTAAAGCCAACAATGAACCAGCAGTCTGACTCCATCCGCGCAAAGTTATTTTTATAACGCAGAGTATTTTATATTTTGCATTGATTACATCTTTTGCTGTTTTTAACATAGTCCTGTTGTCTTATCTAGCCTTTTGTGTTTCAGTTTTTATCACTTACGTTTTGTCATTACAGATTTTATCGGTTTTTAAATTCTCATGTCTCAATTTGACTCATATATGCAAAAACTTAATCACTTTCTTAAACTTGAAAATGATTTCAGAGAGTTCCAAACGTCGTTTTCTAGATCTAGATTTTATCCTAAAATGCGTTTCGAAGAAACTACTCATTAGTCTAGAACGGGTATTTAAAAGGACTTTGAAAAATATATCGAACGGATGTACTTTATGGTACCTTATGGTCGTACTGAAACTAGTTTCTCAAGGAGTCACCAGGGGCGTGGCGACCACATACGAGACCCCATTAAGAGATAGGATCGAGGGCGGTGGGGGGTCGGGGGTCGGGGGTCGGGGTATCCCACATCTTGTTAATTTTTGACCTAAATATTCTGCATCCCGAACAGTTTTCCTGTTCTTATTTTTCTAAACAAAAAAAAGAAAGAACAAGCAAGCAAGAAACGCTCATCAGAATTATGCAAAGTATGCAAGTAGAAAACGATAACAGAAAAACGAATTGAAAAAGAATATGTTTCAACTCATACAAATCTATCCCTACATTGGACTGTGTGATCGAGACAGTTGTGGTAGACAGTAGAAGAGTGGTGCTGTGATGTATGCAAGAGAACAAATTGAGTTTTGTAGCTTCCTCAGCGATAAGGAGGAGGTAAATAGCAACTTGCAGGTTTGTCATCAGCAGCTGGTAAACAAACCATGCTTGCCGGACAGTTTGCCCATCCCTCACAGCAACATGAATTTGCACTGAGCTCATCTATCATTAGTTTGTCACTTTTTCCTCATAATTATAATTAAAAAGAGAAACTGAAATTGTTCTTTAATGCCCCTTTATTTTCGCTTAGTGATTATTACATCAATCGAAGGACGAAAAATTTGGTTTCATCCATCGGCCCTTACATTTCATCTCATGGTTTAGACTAAATTTTAATCCTACAGTTGGAAGTAATCAGGAATGGTCCTACTGTGGGACCACAATGCTTCCAATGCAACGGACTTCTTTGCTACCATGACGACTGTCCCTCACTTCAGAGGAGCCATCAGGAATTTAAACACGGACCAGCCACCTGAGCCAATCAACTTCGCAGAACCCAGCCAGTTGTCTAAGTGATGAGCTGGAGGTGAACGCTTGTAGAACTTGCCATTGTGAACGCCATACAACTGACCATCCGCCATGAAGAAAAGCTGCTGAAAACTGCTCCATCCTGCGGTGCCAACGAGAGTGGATGTTCCCAGCCAGTTGTCATGTGCATAAACGGGAGGATGCCTCTTATGAAACTTGCCATTTTCGACGCCGTGCAGAATCCCTTGGGGATCGAAGAAGAGGAATTTGAAGACGCTCCAGCCACCAGTTCCCACCAGTGTAGCGGATCCAAGCCAGTTGTCCAGGCTGTGTGTTGGGGGACTTCGCCTGTACAGCTTGCCACCTGTTACCCCGTACAGAACCCCATTGGGATCAAAGAACAGGAACTTGAAGACTTGCCATCCCCCGGCGCCGACAAGCGTCGCTCTAGCGATCCAATTCTGAGACGCAGAGGTCGGAGGTGGTGCTTTGTAGAACTTGTTACCCCACACACCATACAAGGTACCGTCCGGGTGGAAGAACAAGTGCTTAAAATTGGTCCAGCCCGTTCTTCCGATCAGTTTAGCTGTTCCGAGCCAGTTGTCATGTGAATGTTGAGGAGGATGTCGCTTGTAAAATTTACCATTATTCACGACTCCGAAGAGATCCTGACGTTTGTTCCCGGTGCTGAAAGAATCAAGAAAACCAATTACACGCAGAAATTCAGAATTAGCCCAGCTTTGTTGTTTTGTTCACAGAAATAACTTCAAGTTTAGGTAACGACGACCTTCAAACGCTATTAGAGTCTGGCGTCGTAGAAAGCAAAGGCTGCAAGTGATGTAAATATTTCAATGACGTGCTTATATCCCATCTCACTTCATGTATGGTACACAGTAAATTTCCAAGTTCCATTACTGGGGAAAATGGGGTTATGGGGCTGTGGTGCTTCTTAAGATTATCATATTACGATTATTTCATCAAAAAATAACCACGAAAGAAAATGAAAAAACGTTTACGAAACGAAGGGGAAAATGTCAACTTTTTGGGAGGATGCATGTGAAAGAATGTCACAAGTTTCTCAACTCATTTTACTAACCGTGATCTTTTGCGCTCAATGCTCACACCCAGGTCTCTTTTTAGTGTCGGCAAAGTGCGAATTTACGCTAATTCCTATTATCAAAACTTACATGCATACTACTCATTTTGAGAACGGCTAAGGTGACTTCGCTTCTTTTAACCCATGGAGGCGTGTACCGAACTACTGGTAGCCGTGGTGAACTCGTCAGTAATGTACCTACCTGGCAATGGTCGCGAAAACACTCAGCAAAAGGAACAGATGAAACTTGATGTCCATCACTGATCTGAAAAAAGAAAAAACATTCTACGTTATAGCGCATTTTGTAGAGGTTCAGACAAAAGGTTGGAAGGATGCGAGATGAGCCCCTTTTCGCTGCCGGGATGCGGGATAGAAGGAAATTTGAAGGAGGGATGCAGGATTGCAAGAGGTCGGCGGGAGGCGGGAAGTTGGTAGTTTTTGTGGCGAGACGCGGAAATTGCAGTCTGAAATAGGTAGTAAATTTAGCTGGAAGTATCCCCCAGAAAATTTGAAGCAACGAGATTGGTGAAAAAGATCTTGTCTGACAACCTGCATTCATAATCACTCAGCAGTAATCCTTTCAAAATGACGAAACGGATCGCCTGTGAAAACAAACAAGCTTTGATATAAAATTATTGCTGTCTTCGACAGAAGCAAGAGAATTGAGAAATGTTATTAAAGTGCTTATGAAATGAAAAATAATTGCTACTTATTTGAAAGGCTTTTCAAAATACAGAAGAATGGCGTTTTCTTTTTTGGAATATCTTTTTTCGTTTTAGAGACGTTTTGAAGGGCCTTTCAAATAAGCAGCAATTATTTTGCATTTCATGGGCACTTTAATAGTTTCTGCTCCTCCCGTCAATTTCCATGGGATAGAATCGCGTATTCTCTCGTATTCTTAACTCTTTTTTAAATCTCAAACGAGATATATTAACTCAGACCTTGTGGCAAAAACTACAGAGAATTCAAGTTGACCGGATGGGGCAAAACTATCTGCGAAACAAATACTTCGCAAACAATCATACTCCTAAATTTTCAAAATCATAAAATTTGACAATCACAAACAGTACAGAAACCTAAATTTTCGAAGCAGTTCATATGGGGGTGGCTTTGAGAGCATCACTTGTTCTTCCGATTGCTGTTTTGAGATATGATTTATTTCGTGCCTTTTATAATTGCCAAAAAATAAGAAATTTAGGAAAATTTT